GGGGGGGGGGACGGGACCCGGGAGCAGGATGTTATTTAATGTAAACAAGTCGGAGGGCACATCAGGAAATTAGCAAACAATGACACTTGGGGAGCACAGAGGCGTCCTTGGGGTTCCACTCCGGTGGCTGCAATGGGGGGCGCTTCACCTTCAGGCCGTGTGCTTGGACGGATCCGGACAAATGAGAGCACCCCGCACCCCACCCAAGAGAAAGAGAATGGGTGCTTATTCTTTTCAGAAGGAAAGAAGCAAACACCTGCTAGGTGTACAAGGCCAGATAAGAACTGCTGGCTTCCAGCATCTTTTTTAGATAGGTGGATTTGGGTTTGGTAAGGTATTTTAGAAGAGATCATTTACCCGCCAGATAAAGTCTTTTTATTGTTTTTTAAAGCCTTCTAGTTCCTGATCACTTAACAGGTGTACCAGACAGACTTTGGGCTCGGTTGTTTTATTAGAGGAGGGTAAAGTTGAATCCTCCTGTCTGTTGAGTGACTTGTCAGAACCTTCATTTTCCTGATTTGACTTTTTTGAAAAATGGTGAGAGCGAAAGATTCCAACAGACATACGAAGGTGCCTCTCGAAATGCATGGTCTCTCCTTAACTGAGAGGTCGGTGACTTTCATTGTGATGTCACAGGTTCTAATACTGAGCTTAGAACCACTTTTCTCAAGATCGGTTTTGAATCCACTTGAGGTCCAAACAAAACCACAGTTTTATCCACTTTTCCTCTGGTGTTTCATCCAGCGTTGGCATCAGGGCAGAGCAAAAGAAAAAAAACAACGAAGCAATAAAAAAACACCTCGATTGTTTTCACCACCTAGAGATGTCACATATAAACTGATGAAAATTAGAGGGCTATTGCAAGTAATAGCATTTTTTGAAGTAAGCTAAACTAACAGATGTGGAGTCAGTAAAGCTTCCATTCGTTTAGTCTGAAAATGGTTTGATTATAGACAATTTGAAGATCTAATCATAGCCCCCCACCCCACCCCCGATTTAGCTTGGACACTTTAATGAAAGAGGCCTAAAATAGTTTTATATATTGAAACTATTTGTTAACTCTTGATATATACATGTACACACACACATTTATATTCCCCTTCCTTCCCACCATGAACGCTTGATATATACATAGATATCGATATAGATCTGTATATTCCCTGTCCTCCCCACCACGAGCACTGCTGATTATTCAGTTACTTGTACTTAAAAGTCTCTGCCCTTGTGACTAGCCTGTTGGTGCTATCTGATTCACTGAATGTACGTTGTGTTCATATTTATGACCTCAGGGAACTCACTAGTTTATCTTGAGAGTAAGAGTAGTTGTATAGACCTTGACCTGTGAGGTCCACGGCCCAAAAGGGAAGAGCTGTTAGGGAGGAATGAGTATTTGCATGCCTAGGCAATCGTACTTTATAGAAAAACGAGGTTGCCACAGCATAAGTCTGGAGAAAGAGAGCTTGTAAAGCCATGTATTTTAAAGTTTGATTGACTTAGCAACCCCC